GCCTCTCTGCAGTGAATCTGACTCTGGTGCCTTATCAACACACAGCCACATCAAACAGCAGCCGGCTAGCATTAATCAGCATCCCTTGGCAAAAGGCTCAGCAGAAGAGCTGAGGGTAGAAAGGACTGTAGAGACTAAACCCTGTTTAGCCACTAAAAACAGGGTGGAGACCTCCTGTTGGCACAGCAATAAAGAAATGTGCCTCTTACTCTCTGGGCTGTGGCAGATTTCAGTGGCAAATTTCAGTGTCCAGGACTCCTTCCGCCAACACTTCAACTCCGTTTAAAAATGATTTTCAAAAAAACACAAGCCTGATAGGTCACGTGTCCCCCTGCTGTGGCTTTCTCCAATGGATCGGTGTTGATACGCCCCAGTGAGCACCCTCACTGGATTTCCCTACATACTGTTTCACTTCTAAGCAAGCCCAGATAAAGAGCCTATTAGATCTATTAACTAATAGAAATGTAACCAGCGCTTCTGAAAAGTGCATGCCAGAAGGCTTCCCAGGCTGTGAAAGCGAAATGATGTTGTACTGAGTGGTACATCTTAATGGCTGCTAATTGCACTGTGCTCTTTTAATATACAGGGAGCTTTCAATATCAAGATATCTATTGACCTTCACGTTTGGTGGCAGGCAGGGGAAATTATCAGGGTGCAACTTGCACTTTGAGAGCCACTTTGTACATCTTGCTGGGGGTGGGGAAGGCAAAGAAAATGTCAGCAGTGGGTTCAACATGATCTGAGGACTAAGAACATCAGGTGTCCCCACTTTATTATGGCTTCACTTTGCTTTTAGGAACCATTAACACTTCAAAGCATGTGGCTGTGAGTCTCGTGCATGGTTCCAGGCCCCCACTCATTCCCCTTTTTTCACCCAGAAGGACATTGCTTCCATTTAGCACAAAGCATGATTGAATCGTGCAGCTCTCAAAAACCTTTAAGCAACAGCGGGTATCAACCGTTTATCCCACTGAGATCTACAAACCCAAAGCATCCTTCACTGGTATTGCTTGACATTTCAGCAAAAGGGTGGCATTTAGGGGAGAGCAAATGGGAGGCAGACTCTTCCTCCAGCTCGCAACAGCATAAACTCTTGGTATTTATAAAATAGTAATAATAATGAGAAGCAAGATATTATGGTTTCTTATGAAAATAAGTTGAACCAGAGCCTCCAAAGAAAATGCTGAGTTTGTGTTCTGGTTGGGAGAAAAGTGTTGTGCTTTTTTTATCTGCCTTTGCAGTGGTTGGGGTGCAGCTACCTATGGCTGCATATCTATCTTTACAGCAGCAGAACATTGTACTCTGTGGTCCTCTGGTTTTACCTGTGGTAGGTTAGGTTATGTTGTGCGTAATGCTAAGAGGTTAGACAATGGATTTGTGTAGGATGGTTGGGATAAGGATGATCCTGCCTCGGGCAGTGGGCTGGACTAGATGTGACCTCTCTAGGTCCCTTCCAGCCCCACTTCTTTATGAGTCTGTGATTCTAATCTGTCCAGTCATGTCCTCATGAGCATCGTAGAGCAGTCTTAATGTACCTTACCTCTAGTCTGGTGTGCTTATTCCAGCTTTCTCACTTCAGTTAGCACTTAGAGGGGGTATTATAATAATTCCCCGTTAATTAACACATTTTATATTTTGCAAGTACTTTCAACACATGTATCTAGTCCTTACATGTTGCCTGTGAGATGCCGGGGTCAACACATGGCAACCACCGCAGCTCTATTTTAGATGATAGCTTTGTTAGCTGACAACAAAAGCTGGCTTTCTAATTAAGGCTTCCGTGCCAGCCTTACATTTCCAATGCAGTCTTTAGCCAAAGACCTTCAGGTTCTTTACGAATATTCATGAACCAGGCTTCACAACATGCAGCAGGAGAAGGTAAATATCAATTAGAGCTGTAATACTTGCAGCCTGGCTGGTGCAGCTGCCCAGGGCACAAAGTCATTAAGTGAACCTTTGGACTATTTGGTACATTTCTTAGGGTATAGCTGAAATCCAAAGCAGAACAGCCATGTTAGTACAGCCCTGCTCATGGGCTAATTACATCTACCTGGAGACCGGGACACCTTGGGCAACTTTGCACAAGGCATGCAACTCTTCCATAAAGGTACTGATCCTGAAACTATCAGAAGCCTTGAAAGTGAGGGAAGCTAGATAGTCTCGTGCTTAACGAACCTTGCTTACGGGTGTCTCCATGCTATGGAATTAGTAGGCCTGAAACTGATCAGTTCCCCTCATTTCCACAACCTCCCATAGGCTATGGACAGACATTACACATAAACCAGTTTAAATGATCGGAAATTGGTTTAAACATGCAACAGAACAGAAGTTCAGTGCACATAAACTGCTTCAAAGTGGCCACAACTAGTTTAAGATAGACCTGCATGAATGTTGTATAAAAAAAAAGTCTGTGGTAGATTTTCAGTGGGCACGTCTACATGTTCATTAATGCGCAGTAGCTTATTAGCATGGTTTTTGACTGGTGTGCTACTGCGCAGTGTTATTAGGCTATTGCACAGTAAGCGTCTCAAGTAGACGCACCCAGTGTGCGTTCATTCTGGTACACAGTTGTTGTTTGGTTTCTCCTACATATTTTCCATCAGGGCATTCAATGCACTGAATGAGAGATATAACATTTCTGGAGGTGCAGGTGTAAGATTCAGGAATGGGGATGGTTCTGTTGTGGGATGTAGTTATTGTGGGGGGTAGAGATGTACTGACAAGTTTTACATTTCTTGTCCTGGCAAGCTGTGAGCTCAAGCATGGGCGACTGGTGCTGCCTTAGTCAGGGGGAGCATGTGCCCTCCCAGTGGCCAATCAGCAACCAGGGACGGGGGACCCCCTGCGGCTGATCTTGCTGACTGGTGGGGGGCGTCCCTGCAGCCGATCGCAAGACAGTCGATCACTGCGACCAATTGTTGCAGCTGCTTCTGGTGCTTGCAGGGTGGGCACTGCCGCTCCCACCTGCCCCCCTGCCCATTGCCTAAGTGGCAAGTGTGGCTTGTCAGGGGGTGCACCGGTGCTCTCAGGGGGTGCACATGCACCTCCCCCCACGTGCACCCCCTATGCGTTGCCACTAAACTCAAGCAGTTTATTTTACATTTGTGGTTCCAGCAAGCTATGCATTTAGCAGTTTATGCACCTAGCAGACATGTGTGGTACTGGGGTTTGTTACAGGGCAAGGAATAGGCAGCTAATTAGGACTGGCGTGCAAATTATGCTCTTACCTAGTATGAATAAAAGTGGCATGTCGTTGTTTTGGCAGATCAGTGCCTGAGGTTCCCTGCAAGCTCTTCATCCTCCCCATATTTGGTCTGTCTGATTTCTTTCTCTTCCCCCTGCCCCATCCCCCCACCTCATATAGTATTTCTGTAGAAACCCACTGGCCTATTTAAAAGCAAAAACACTTGCCAGTGTATCCTAAGAGTCATATCTGAATCAACAGCTCTATCTGCAGCTTCCCAGCGCTTTGTGGACCTGTATGTGGACCTGCATAGGAATGTTCTGCTTTTGAACAGGTCCCGAAGAGTCTCTCCTTTCTACTAGGGAATTTTTGAAGGGTTTTTCTTTCCTAATTGATTAATTAAGGCTTTGGTAACAAACCCAGTGCCTATTTATTTCATAAAGTGGGAATTCTGCTCTCACTCTATTTAGCTATATTCCATTCTCTGTTGCTGCAAGACAGTCTTATTCATGCTAGTGAATGATATAATTGTGAGCAGAGCAGAAAAAAGGGGGAATTTTACAATGTATATCTGGGCATCTTATTTTAAAAGAACTGGTCACATGCCTTTTTGATCAACTTGAAAAAGATTGTTCCCCATGCAGAGATTTAAATAAACTCTATGTTCCTCATCAGACTGTTTGACAAACTCGAACTTAATTTTGTAAATAAAATGACAGCTTAGCCAACAAAAATGATCTGTGCTCTTCCTATTTCCTACCTTCTGTTTATGTTCTGATGTTTATGTCACTGTACAGTTTCTCAGAGGATCTATAGTATAAGATAGCAGAGTGCACCCTTAATAGGAAAATGTCATTCCAAGTATAGTGGGTATCAGATCATTTAACTGAGAAGAGCTCAAAGGTAAACTGGATAGTAATTAAATATGAAATGTTTATATTGGAGAAGGAAGGACTGATACAGGAAGCTACACTGTTTACCTTTACGTTTTCAGAGAGCAAGTATTAATTGCATAGCATGCCTCTCTCCATACATGCGTTTCCCTTTTAAGTGCTGTTTCTCGTTCCTTAACTTCACTGCCCTTTATGTAACGTCTTGAAACAGAGTCATGTACTGAATGGCTTTGCATGATCCCAGAAACCTACAACACACCATCCTGAAATCATGCAAGTCCAGTTGGTGTTACTCATGGGTTAAATCTCTAAGATGTATTTTTGCCCTTCTTAGGAGAAAACTGGAAATGCACGGAGGAGTGTTCAGTTGCATCTACTCGCACCCATCCACATACAACTAAAAGCATAACACTAACCAAGTGATGAGTTTGAGGCTGACCTTGGAACTCCTAAAAGTTTATTCATCTCTTTCCCAGGCAGAAATCCTATTGACTCAGTGAGAGTTTCCCTGGAGGAGGGCTGAATAAAAAATAAATAAGGAATTTGGACAATAACTTGTTCATACACTAATGCAAAGCAAAGACTCCATGTCCTGGACATAGGAAAATAACGTGCACCACCTCCTAAGTTTGGAAGACTGTTCGATGAATTTCCATCCCTGGTTCAGGTGTATGTGGAGACATTGGAGTCAAAAGAGCTGAACCAGGGCAAAAGTTGAGTGAGTGGAGGGTAGTCCCGAGAAATTGATATTTTCTTGGTAGTAGTGCAGTACCAGCATGAGCTGTGACATGACCTGAAACCCCCTATGTTTCGTTTTAGCAGGGAGTAGCGTACAACCTTAGGATGAGGGTCGGCAGTGTCTCCCTGTAGTTGTGAAGCTCTTCCCAGCAGAAAAAGATGACTTTTCTCATTGCTCACCACAGCCATGCACCTGTTTGGCCTAACCTGGCACCTGCAGCCGATGGAAGGGCAGATGTATGAAATCACAGAAGACACATCCAGCAGTTGGCCAGTGCCAACGGACGTCTCCTTATATCCCTCAGGGGGCACAGGGTTAGAGTTACCTGACAGGAAAGGCAAAGGACCCAGCGAAGGTATGGTTGGTGTGTGTCCATGTTGTGAGTCCTCTGTCTGCCTCTGAACTCCAGCCATCCAATCTCATGCTCCATTCCCCTCCAATACTGCCTTTCCTCCAGCACCGTAGTCTGGTGCTTTTCCAGTCTGTCACGTCTAGAACTAGTAGTCGTCAGTCATGTTCTCATATGTTTCTAAGTGTCCTATCCTTTTAACGTGCACTAACATAGTCCGCATCTTCATCAGTGCTCAAGACGGCTCTCAAGAGGGAAGTACCTGCCCTGCATTTCATTTGGGTATGGTACCCTCACCACAAAAACCCTACTTCATGTCATCTAAGGGCAGATTTCATAAGAAACCACCTTCATGTCTTGCAAGTCAAAATGATACCTTGAGGATTGGGTTGTGCTTTTTCTACAGCAAAACCAAAATGCTTGTTCTCATGTTTCTTTGGGGATATTAGTTGTCCGGGATTTGAGTACCACAAGATTTATTAAGGGCTGTAGACCCGGCAAACTTCCACTTTCTGAAGTTGGCCATCTCTTGGCAGAACTGGCCAAATGAAGGGCTTCATTCAGCAAAGTGCAAAATCTGCCTGGCATTGACAGATTTCATCTGCAACTGAAGTGGAAGGTACCTGACATGCTGAGAACGATGCAGCATTGGGGTCTAACCTAGGAAACAATATACTATTCGAAGACACTTTGTTTGGAACCAACTGGGCCACTCGTGGTGACCCTGCAAAGTGCCGTTTTTTGTCACTGCCAAGAAAACGGATGGAGAAACAGGGAATTCAAAGTTGAATCTGATAAAGTTATTGTTTGCTGCATCCTCTTCTCTTTAAGCAAAATTGAAATAAAATGTATTTCCATTCCAGGAAATCTATAGTTACTGCCTGGTTTTGGTGGAATATTAATTGTGAGGTGGTGAATAAGAGACTTAAAGAATCCGGGCCTGATTCAAAAAAAATTGAAACTGGTAGAAGTCTGTCTACTGATTTCAACAGGCTTTGGGTCATGCCCTGTGTTAGCCCTGTGGTTTATATGAATTGCACCATTTTTGCTTGAAGGGGTTATCTGTCTTTATTAAAGTGAATGCAGCTGTAATTACATACTTCTTAAAAAAACAACATTGTTAGTACTGATTGGTGAGTGTCAAATGAAATTATTGCAGTGTAAAATTAATTAATCCAAAATGGTGCCAGGCTAGCTATGTAGTGCAGAAAACTACAGACCTCCCCTCTAGCTGTATTAGAAAAGGCCTCTTGATCAAGCCTGTTTTTTTTTTAATTTGTCCCCTGCTTAAATTACTGTGTGTGTAATTGGCTAAATATTGCATTTGATCCCCACCTTCCCTCTTAGAAGTCAAAATGAAAAGAAGAAATAATTTATCTAGAAGTCAGGGGACCCAATCAAAGGTGTCCACTCAATTTTCACTCTGTCTTCCTCAGCCAAATTCCCACTGAATCAATAGGAGTTTTGTCTGAATAGAAGTGCAGGATGTGTCTCTGAGTATATGCATAAATGAACACACATGTGCATACACATCAGCTTTCCTGTGGAGTTCTCTGAATGGGGCAACTCTGCTCAATGGGGATTTTGTGCACTGCAGCAGGCAGCTAGAAACCTCAGAGTGGTCTTTCTGTAAGTGTTAGGGAACTTGTGGACTATCTGGAGCGTGACCTGAGCCCAATGATACAGTAAGAGTAAAAACAGGTATGAGGTTTCTCCTGAGACAGAGCCTCTTATCTTGGGATCCTACAGAGGTACCAGCCCATTGTCTCACTTAAAGTACCCATGAAATGTCTGAGATAACCTTTCCCCTGGGACAGCTGAGGTTACTTTGAGTTACTTGCCATTCAAAGCTGTGTATGTAGATCACCTGTTTTGATGAGGAAACACCATGTATCTGGAAGGCAGTGTTCCTTAAACGCCCCGGGGGGATAACCCTCTTCTGGCATGGTTTAGTACTCACCAAGGTGTTGGGGCTTAAACCCCACTTTATGGAAATGGGTTGCTCCTCCCTAGCTTGCTCCTGCAGCCCTATGGCCCAGGGCAGATGAAAACTGGGGGCATCCTAACCCCAAGCCTCCAGGCACGGGCCTTCTTGTAGGATGTCCGGCAAAGGATTTGGAAACATCTGAAGCCCCAGATGGAGGTGGAGGATGTTTGTTGGTTGTAAGGCTACTTAAGGTTCTGGACTGACTCATGGATTTGAACTTGATTTGGCTGATTTGGCTTGAAACATGAAACATTTCTTTAAAAAAAAAAAACCCTTTAGATGGAGTCGAACCGAAGACCATCAGACCCAGAATAAACCCTAAATGACAGCACTGGGGTCTTTCCTTTCCCAGGTGACTACACCCACCCTTGACTTGCTGCTGCCTCAAAAGGTTGGTGATAGGGCAGCTAGTTTGGGCCAGCAGTGTTGCAGAGCAGCAATTGTAAATAAGAATTGATGTAAATGGAATAACGAAAAAATGGTTTAAAATGTCCTTGAACAGACGACCTGTCCCATGATGAAATTGGCTGTTTAGAGCGAGGGTTTCATCCTTGCTGAACTGAATGCAGCATTATCAGCTCAGGTCAATCTCCAGCCATTCATTACTAAGTTTCAACCATGATGCCAGTCTCCAAAAAAAAAAAAATGAAACACGTGCCTGAGTCGACCCCCATTCAGCAAAACACTTCAGCGCTCCCTCAGATTTAAGTTTAAGCAGGTGATCAATTATCATTGCAGTCGGTAAGATATAAGCAAGCATGTGCTGACGTGGTATAATGAATCAGGGTGCCTTGTTGCATCCAAATTATAACCACATTCAGTTGATCCCCAAAATGAAACCATTCATTCTGATAACCAAATAAATTAAGAAGAGTTGCTGAAGGGAACTGAAGTGTTCTGCGTGCAGGCAAACAGACTGAAGGAGCAGAGAAATTTGACAGCACCATTAGGAATTCAGAGCGGGAGGTCATTTTGCTTCAGGTTAGTTAGTTAAAGATTCTCATCTGGACTCTGCTGAAACTACATCCTTATTGGAGTTTATTTCTGAAATATCTGGTGCTTAGGACTTGATCCAGTCATAGCTGAAACCAAATGACAAAACTCCTATTGACTTCAGTGGGCAAAATTCACGTCACTGTACAGAACGTTGCTTTGAACCTTTGCGTTAAGATAAGTCTTGATAGTTTAGAGACATGGTAATAACCATTCTGAGTCATTCCAGAAGAAGAACACATAAAACATTTTCATATATATAACTGGCCGAGAAGAAAAGATGCGTATTTTAAATCTACATGTTCAGACGCATTTACTTCTGCAAGATGGTCATTTTTTGCTTCAGACTTAGACCAACATTTTTTTCCCATTTGCCTACTTGAGCAAGCACTGCTCAGTGTATTACAAGGAATTCATCTTATGCTCATTTCCTTCCAGTTATCTACTGCATAGCAGCACTTAGCATTTTAAACTCTCACCCCGCCTAATTTGTTCTGATGTAAGATCTTCATTAATGAACAGCCAGAGAGCAATCCATGTGCTTTGCTTTTCTATTTTAATTTCTCTGCATATATAAAACACAACAGTAAGAATCCCTGAAATGTATCTTTGAGGTGGACTAAAATATAAAAAGTTTTTTCATTTCTCTCTAGCATTTTGTTACACCCTTTGCATCTCATAGCAATGAAATTGGAAGCTGTGCCCATGGACCTTAGTAGCTGTGTGTTTTAACACAGGCAGTATCCTAAAAATTAGTGTTAGAATTAATGAAATAGGTAATCATCCAATTTACAAAATAAAATCCTTGAAATTAAGCAAATCTGATCTCCACCACACTATTCTTCACTGTTGCCTGTGTCACAAATGGCTCAATGATTATTTCCTGTTTACCTCTGATTTGCCTTTTTTAATAGAAACCTTTATTCTGAAAAACCGATAAAAAATGGTTTCTAAATGGTTTCCCTTATTTCTTTGAATGTAAGGAAATGGAGTAATATTAGGGTCTGATAACAATAACGGAGCCTGGTTTCTGTGAATCCCTTTTTTAAATTTGTGTTTGTTTGCTTAGTCAGATTTTTATGCATAAGCTTCATGAGATGCAGTATTTAAGAGACTAATAATGAGGCATGTGTATACCATCAAGCCTTTCAATGTACGCGTAATTTTTAAGTCCAAATGGGACAGCTCCTACTTAAAGTTAAGCATGTACTCAAGTGCTTTGCTGGAATAAAAAATTAAATAGCAGCTTTCCCCATCATATAAAGATAAAACTGTCCCAGGGCATTTCTTCCTGTTAACATCCATTTTAACTTTTTAATATATATTTTAAAGTGACATCTAGCAGTGTGAACCTGATGTGTCTCTGCTGGGAACTTTACATTGGAATGATAACATATGGAGAAGTTTAACATTTACATGAAATATTATTCTCTAAAACAGTAAAATATTTTATTATATGACAAGAGGGTTGCCCTACCCAACATCATTCCAGGATTAAATGTAAATTGTTAGAGTATTTGACTAGAATTCTTAATGTCTGGAAAAGACATTTTAATTTCTTATTCCCTAAATGCATTCTTTATATATATATAAAAAACCCCACAACTGTAATTTGTTACAAAAGACTTTATAGTCCTGAAAGTTTCTTTGTCATTTTATTAGAATTGTTTCATCTGCAAAACATACGGTAGCAAGCCTTAATGGCAAAGAGATGACAGACCAAGTGATTTGAATTTCTAAGGGGAATAAATGCAGCCTTTGATGGTCCTCTTGGCCTCTGATTTTTTTTCCTATTCAAGATGAAATCTGGCAGGTGATACAAGACTAGCATGTGCTTTTCAAATCCAAGCATGTTCATAATCACAAAATTAAGGCTATCTGCTAAGCAAGCGCAGTTTTCATCTTCCTCTCCTTTCCCGTTACTCCTTTATTTCCTAGTGCATCAGGTAAGGGAGCATGATCCAGTGACTGAACAAAAGTCTTAGATTGGTGTTCTGGGGTCGTATTTGCTCCTCTGCCCCGATTCACTATGTTTTCTTTAGATCTGTATATTGTATACTGTGAATTTGAGTGCAAGACTGTCCAGCCTGAGCGGCCTACGGCTTCCTTTCCTTATGGAATTAAAGTAATTGATTTCTCCTCCATAGTACTTTAATTTATAATGATTAGTTCATTTAATTCATTTGGAGTTGTGGGTGGTTTCCACCTGTAGGTATCAGCCCACAGGTGCTCAAAGGTAAGCTCCTAGAAATGAGGTTCCCAGCACTTTTGAAAACCGGTGCCTCGATTTCCCTACCTGCTTAATGCAGCGAAAATCATGACCCCCTTCACCAGGCCCCTTGATTATCTTGGCAGCCCTTACAGAAGTACAGAATGTTATTTTCCACATCTTTCCTTTATATAACTCTCCTTCCTTCTGTCTTGGTGAGTGTCACCATCCTACGTGTCCACATTACTGTCAGCCCTTAACTTAGCAGTGAGTTGCATCTCTAATTTCTCCCACCACAATTAAGCATCATTAGGCATTATAGATGTCTCTGCATCCTCATCTCACTTCGTGGAAACTCATAAATCCCTCACTTCTCAATAATGTATTAATGACTTTTCCTCATAAATGACTGTAAATAACATGACTGTTATGTAAAGTGAATTAAATAGATACATTTTGAACATCAGATTGTATCTACCCAAGCTCTGTTATGATAGCAACAGAGGGCTATTTGAGAATCCATTTTTCAGCAGAAAGAATGAATTTAGCTGGGCATAACCTTATCAGATATAAGGATTTGAGGCATAATGTCTTCTGAAGACCACCCATTGATCATTTGTCAAGGCAAATGTCAGAGATACCAGTTTGATCAGATTACATGTAGGGTCCTAAGCTAATCCAAGGTTTTCTTTTGTTCCTGTATCTTGGCAGGAAAGCCCAGTAGTTTCTTTCCAGACGACAGTTTTATAGACTCCGGAGAAATTGATGTTGGCAGACGAGCCACACAGAAGATTCCTCCTGGTATCTTTTGGAGATCTCAGGTGTTCATCGATCACCCAGTACATCTGAAGTTCAATGTGTCCCTGGGAAAGGCTGCTCTGGTTGGCATCTATGGCAGAAAGGGCCTTCCTCCTTCACATACGCAGGTAACAGGAGCTCGTTTCAGCGAACCAGTTGCCAGCTGGTTGTTTTTCTTGGTTACGTTCGGATGATTATTTGTCTTTGAGTTGCACAAAAGATGTTCTTGTTCCTTTATTTTACCATTTAGCAAATTTACAGGTAACTTGAACGTTATTAGACTTAAACCTTCCAAGCTGGCATGTTTACAGTCCTCACGGAGGTTAGCATGTTTTGCTAAAGTACATAAAGAAATAAGGATTAAAAAAAAAGTAGGAAAGTAACATTACTGAAATTTCTACACTAACAGCAGTCAGGAGACTGAAAACAACTGTCGCCATATTAGCAGCATTTAGATTGTACACGTTAAGAAATTAAAATTAATATTGGTACAGTGAAAAAATTTACATTTTATATGAGCTGAGCCAAATCTCAGTCCCATCAAAACCAGTGGCTAAATCAACAAATCATAATTTAGCTTTACATGTACTATGGCTGTCCTTGTCACTGATGTGAGAACCTCAGCTTTTTTTCTTTAAAGAGGAAAGTTTTCAGATTTTATTATTTAAAATGGTAGCTATAATGTGTTGGAAGTAGCCAGAGGATCCTGGCCCTGATACTCTTTCAGCCAAGGTATAAGAGGAGCTGTGAGAGAAATTAGGAAAAGAGCAGATGAAGAAAAGAGACCAGGAGAAGTAGACTCAGTCATGTGTAAAGAGGTCCTGGAAGTTTCTGAAACAAAACAGGGCCAGCCATGTCTCAGTAGAATGGATCAGAGCACATCATGAGCCACCAGGGAAAATCTCTTGTATAAGGTCCCATAAATGTGGGTTTCTTCCATTTAATGCAGTGCTCCTCATGCTTTCACAATACAGAAGAATACAGGGAGTGTGATCTTCTAGGAGCCAGAAATGCACAGCGAGCGTCTGTCTTGTTTTGCATTTCAGTTTGACTTTGTGGAGCTCCTTGATGGGCGACGTCTGCTTACCCAGGAGGCGAGGAGCTTGGAAGGACCTCAGCGGCAACACAGAGGCTTTGTGCCCATGTCCAGCCATGAGACAGGATTTATCCAGTATTTGGATTCAGGAATATGGCACCTGGCCTTCTACAATGACGGGAAAGAGTCTGAGGTGGTTTCTTTCCTTACGACTGCCATTGGTAAGGACTTATGACATTACTGTGTATAATCTGTCTACCTTGGGCCATGTTCTAGCACCTTAGTCTCATTGCACGGCATCCAACACCACATAGAGTCCTATTAACTTCCATGAAATCATTCTTGGTTGGCAGTGGCCAGTCAACCAAGATCTATCTTGCCTTGGGTAAAATCTGCTTGTGGCATAATTGCTGGATAATGTTAGGGCTTTCCCTGACCTCACTGCCCATAGCAACAAGAGATTTTTCTTACAGCATATCATTACCACCCTCCACAAACTGGCTCAGGTCTTGCTTCTTTGGTCTATGCTCAGAACTAATGTCTGACTCAGTGGGTGCATCTATGCGAGATGCTATGTTGCCCACTCAGTGGGTGCGTCTGTGTGAGATAGCAATGAGCTACAGTGATGTAGCTTGTCACTGGTGACGTATCGTCCACGGGCGTGAACCATGAAGCCAATGCTACTGCACATTTGCTACTGTGCAGTAGGATCGGAAATGACCTATGCACTGCCAGGACTGCACAATAACGGCAGTGACTGCACAGTCATCTAGTACTTGCTGCGCAGTCAGGGCATGTGTAGACACGCCCAATAATGTTTAATTGACTGACCCACATTTATCCCCCCCCAAAATCCATTTGGTTGTGATTTGAAGAGTCTTCCCTAGAACTAGCACTTAATTTTTTTCTATCCACAATGATTGTTTAATGGATTTTTCTTCCTATCCTGCAAAAAACAGTCTCTTTCCAGTGCTACTATTAATCCCTCTTCCCAAAGAAGCATTGACGTTGAGTCTCAGCTGTCTGCAGCAGTTACCTGAGAACTATGGGCTGTAATTTGTCCTGGCAAGTTAATTAAAAGTTTAGGTCTTATTAAAGCAGAGTCATTAAAGTTCCAGCAAACAGCTTTTACCTCTAAAGTTTATTTAATATGCAAGTTGAAATGCTACCATAATATTCTGTGTTAAAATTAAAACCAAAAACTTAAACAGCCCTTAGCTGTCAGAAGCCCATGTGTTCAAGGCTGTTCAAAGTTAAGTAACACCAGAAATAATTGCACTTGAATCTGATAAATGGAAGGCTTACTCTGTGGAATGCAGATTTATTTTTCACTTGGTTTGCTTCAGCAAAAATGCAATCAAACCAAATGTTACCTTTCCACAGCACCTTCCATCCAGAGGAATCACATGTGCTTATGTACAGTGGGCTCCACTTAAAAAAACATTCTGTTCCAGAAGATCTGACCAGTTTGGGAGACATTTCCCTGCAGATAGAGATGATAATAGCTCTCCCAGTGGAGGATGTTTTTTATAGAGCATTCACTCCGTTATCCAAATGGAGGACACAGTATGGGCTAGGTCCGGGTTTTCTTCCTTACACCTTTATCCTTGCATTGAAAATGAGCAGGACACATTCCTAGCACACCCTTGGACATGGAGCAAGGAGGCTGGGTAAGACCTTCAGCTTCCCATAGCACTAACACAGTCTGGTCTCCAGTGTTTAAGCTGACGCCTGCTTACATTTGGGTTGATCACATAGCATGTGACGCCAGCAGTGAGCCTGGTTTAGGCCGGGGTGGCCAGAGTTGCTCACCCTGGGAGCCATATCCAATCCTCCACCAAAGTTCAAGAGGGGGATGGGGGAAGTGCTGAGTGACCCAGAATGGAGGTGACCTCCCCACAAGTCACTTCAGCTTTCCCCATGAGACGCGCACCCTGGGATAAGCAATGTGGCTGCAGCCCCGGCAGCCCGGTGCCTGAGCCAGCAGTCCTGGAGGGAGAGAAGGAGGGAGAAGGATGGCCTCAGGGCATGCTCCCTGCAGGGAAAGCCGAGCAGCAGGAGGTGCCAGGCTGCTCTGCCCCCCGGAGCCGCCTTGGGGAGAAGTGGGCAAGGCTCTGGCCAATTTCTGGAGAGCTGAAAGTACCATGCCAGCAAGCTATGGTTTGGCCACCACTGGTTTAGACTATCTGTAACATGCTACCTGGTTCCCCCAGTCATGTTATTCTGACTTTTTGCTGACTCAAAGGCTCAAGACCCTCTTTGCACACCCAGCTTAGCTCTTCATCCCCCATCCATGGTAGGCATTAATAAGATGGTAACACAGAGGATTTCACCATGCATATAGGAATCGTTTCAGCCACCCATGGCCACATAACACAAAAATGCCGTGTGCGGTTTAAGCTACAAGAGACCCATTTTAGGACAAGGAGACTATGTCCCAGTTAAGAGGAGAGTCTGATTTTTAGATAAAGATGACATGAGTACCTGACTGGCGTCTGTGCAGAATACTCCAGCAAACAGCCCTACCCTTATAAAGAACTGCTGAAAAATGGACTGAGCGTAAATGGTCAGCAGTTTTCTTCAACTAGATCTTTTGTTCTGGCTTTTACAAAGATCTGCAGGGAGGTTTCTCTGAAACACAGATGAAAGCAGAGCCTCAAAGCCTTTCTGGTGTATTCATGAGGTCTGACAAGACATGATTGCTGTATTTTAAGTCCGTAAATACCGTAGTAATTTGTGGTGTAATTTCAGTTGACATGGTCGTAAAGAGGATATAGCAACCTGACATAAGCCAAGTTTATGAATCAGGATAAACTGAAATGCTATGCAAATATATTCAGTTAGTATAGGGAGGGCTAGAGATCTGTGTGTGTGTATAGGGGAAATTCTGCATGGTGTGGAGCTGTCCCAGGTCAGCTTTCATTCAGTTTTATTTTTGTGGCAGGGATACATGAAAACATCTCTCCTTATAGATTCATAGATTCATAGATTAAGGGTCGGAAGGGACCTAGTAGATCTTCTAGCCCG